GTGAAAGTATATCAATACCACTATAACATTAAAGTAGGAAAACCTATCATATGTTTAGGCAAATGGATGGGTGTTTGTCACACAAGCGATATGTTGCCAGCCTTTGGTCACCCTTTCCTTATGCCCATCGACTATATAGACCGCGAAAAGGATATATCGGTAAAAATGATGGACTCTTTCATCAGTTTTATAAGAACGGGGTGAGTTTAATTACAATATTCAAGTAAATGCTATACGATTAAAATTTGAATTCATACACAAAAGTAACCCTGGTGTTATGGACGGCGCTCAATGGCCGCACTACTACACAATGGGAGACAATATAGTAGAGCCGTATTATGAGTACACAAATACATCGAAAGCTGCCACTAATTTTTACTTTGGATTAAAGCATTATGAATGCAATTATCTGTGGAATAAACATAATTTTTAGTTTATTAATATAAAATTTATTGAAATAAATTATTTTGTTTTATTTCGAAACTTTTCTACACAATATGAATACATTACAGAATATCATGTGTTGTTAGAAATGTCTTAATAATAATACTAGAGTTAAACTAAGATTTTAAATATTAATTCCTATAAAATTAAAGGAAATGAATTTAAAAAAACTTTGTCATATATAATTTTAATGAAATTTATTCCATTATTAGTATAAAAATATTAAGAGAGATGTTGAAAATATTGTGATAAATATTTGCACTTTTATATCATTTAGAAATTTAGATAATTAAATTCATATTTGGAGCTCATGTACTAATTACTAGTAATTTCATTATTACAGTGAAGTATTAACTATTTATTTTTCTTGATTCATATAAGATTACTGAACAATTAAAGTTTTGAACTAAAACAATTAAATGTATGTAATTATTAGTTATAAAATAGTATATATTAGCTTATTCGTGTACACGCAGACTTGAAATGTACTTAAAAAAACTATTAATACTGTTTTATCACAAATGTTGCGACACAAGTACCTAACGATCCTATAAACGACATTATTCATTCATAGGTTAATCTTAAGTCTATGAGGAATTAATATGGGATTACATCTTAAGTCTATGGCTATACTTTAACATAGGATTAGCATTAGTCTCATTGAGTTAGCATTGTTTATAGAATCAGCATTACCCATGTTAAAGTATAGCCATAGATTTAAGCTGTTACAATATAATTGATGTAATGTGTTTTATCCTTGACAATTTTATATAAAGGCATGCAATTTCTATATTTTTAAAGTTAATATTAATGAAGCTCGTAATGGAATTATTGGTTTTATAATCTAAACATCTAACATCTTAAGCTATAAATATTTATAAAGTGGTATTTAAAATGTTTAATATTTGCTGTTATAAAAATGTTTGTTACTTGTGCATAAGGTGATAAGTTATAACTTATCACTGATAACTTATCAGTGATAAGTAATATAAATATTTTTAAACATAATTGTTAATTAGTTATAAAAAAAGTTGTATATTATTTTTAATATTATATTAATAGCATGTCATTTACAATTTTATAATACTATATGAAGATAATAATCATATAAACTGTAATAATAAATTCTTATCTTGATATTTAAAAGGATTAAAAATGATAGAACTATTTTAATATAAAATTAATAAAATTATAATTAAATATTAATTTTATTTCGTATATGGGATTATAACTTAGTATATCTAAAATTAATATTTAATTATAATTTAATAATTATATAAAAAATTTCAGATAAAATAAAATTAAATAATTTTTCCATAACTAAAATTAAGTTAATTAATTAAATATTAACAATTATATAAAATTTCCGATAAAATAAAATTAAATAATTTTTCCATAACTAAAATTAAGTTAATTAATTAAATATTAATAATTATATAAAAATTTCCAATAAAATTAAATTAAATTTACCCATAAGTTTACATTAGCGCTATGATATATAAACAGCAATCCTTTTTGCAAACTAAACATTCAGTCTTTATACTATTTAAATATAAGTCAAAACTGACACTCAATTCACTTAACAACCGATACAAGCAGTCAACACGATGTCAAGCACTCAATGGCTATGCGTTATAGCTCTGGTCACGACTATCATTACGTGGAAGGGGGACAACACAGTGAGCGCCACTCCGTTGGCATCGTTGCTCAGCGGAGACAACGCTGAACAGAACGAACACTATCTTCGAGATCGACGCTCAGCACTAGCCAAGCCATCCCCTGTTGCCGACGCCCTCTATTTACAGTTTGCCAATCAGCTCAGTCGACGACGTCGGTCGCCCCGCAAATGCAAACATGAAGATCAACCGGATCATTATTGCGTACAGCATGGATCACATCATTGTAATATGAATCATGACCGATGTATATCTCAATAAGATAATAATGTCTTAATTTGAGAGTAGCGAAAATTACATGTATGCACTTATTGTATGACATTTATATTGTAATACAATATACTGTATAATAAATATATTATTATTTGAACAGTTTTGTATTCATTGAATTTGTTTATTTTTTAAAATTAATTTTATCTTTTTATTTTGTTTTTAATTTTAGTTATTTTTAAATTCCTTTTCCGAATGCTCTTATAAATCACATATAAAACCATAGCATTGTATTTACTATTTTATGTTTTTGTGTTATTAATAATTAAGAGTTACACCAAAGTAAATTAACAAGCTAAATAAAATAAACATAGGCTCCTTCTGTAATGTATAATGTTTCAATGGCCAGCTTATTAATTTACAGCTTGTTAATTTACTTTGGTTAAATTAAATATAGTCTATATCAGTAATGGGCATCTTTCATTAAAAAGCTTTTATTTTACTTGTTAGCTAGACATTATTTGTAGTAAATTTTCAAACATTAGTCATAAATACCATTACATTTGTTTATAAAACATTACACATAATGCAAGCCACCACTCTCGTTATTTGATAACGACATATTTGAGTGCATTTAGATAATGATAAACTTATTAGAAAATATGTTGCCATATCATGCGGGCAAATGCACCATTATGCACGTAGAGCTCAGTCATGGTCTTTATGATTTATATAATATAAATGTCTATTAAATTAGTTCAGTTATTGTTTGTATTAATTATTATAAATATAATAGAAATCAACGCAAAGACTGTAAGCGTTTCGATAGAGAACGGAGTAATCAATGGATTCACACAAGTATTCAACGGCACAGAAGTGGACACATATTTGGGTATTCCATACGCGGAGCCACCGGTCGGTGACCTCCGCTTCCGAAGACCAG